TAATGAAACGGCTAAATAAGCGTTCTTGAACTCCGTTATCGGCCGAACCAGTCGAGCCACCCCACTTATCAGTTAACCAGTTAATATAATTCCAGATATGTTAAATATACTGATCTGTTTGGTAAGGTGGTATTTATATAAGTTTTAATATATAAAACAGAATTTTGACGATGAAATCCAAACGATTACAGAACGGGAATTTAACAAAATATTGTAATCATTAAATTTGATTAATAATTTTTGAACTATAAACATCAGTCGCCTGACTGATTTGACATACCCTAGATCCGCCTCTGGAGTGACTCAAGAGTTATTTGCTGTATCCCACTATACGCTCAATGTATACAATTCCTTTTCCCACACCGGAGTGGAGACTTTATGAATAAAACAAAATGTTTTTAAGCTTGATGTTAAATGTTTTGTAGTTTTATAAAAATTACAAAAATTATCTGAGCTGATTAACATTACGTCAAAATGATATTAAACATTAACACATAACACGTGTCAACGATTAGCCACATATCTTTCACTAACATTTTGTGAAGCCAATGCGTTCAAAAGTCATTAGATAAAATCACAAAAACTTATGAATAAAATTAAACATTCGCTTTATTTTACAAGTGCTGCAACGAAGGGGAAATTTACGAGCCATACGAAAAATGGGCGATTTTAACTTACACACATTTTCTGATCATAGTATGCTTTGTTATGGTAATAAATGGGCTGTGAAAACACTACACTGTAGTGCCTTAAAATGAGAAAAATACGCGTGCTGTTTTGCGTGTGTGTTGAAATAGTACTAAAAACGTAGCTATGTTAAATTCACGTGTAAATAAAGCACAAAATTTTAAGAATTTAACTTTGCATTTTAAAGGCAATTCCATGTTTTAATTTAGCTACCACCATCTGCAATTGAGTGTTACCATTTGCATTTTTAATATACATCAAAATTAAAATAGATTATTAAACACACAATCACAAAAAAACTTATAAGTTTTTTTGAAAAGGTAATAACACATTAGCTTACTACGCAAGATTCACTCGTCTGTAAGCATAAAAATTCAAAAGCTCCTTACAACTGTAGCTACGATAAGGATGTACTACCATAAAAATTCTGTACCCCTGTCAAATGAGCATTGATCTGCCGACTTGAAATAAAAATAGTTTCGCGTTGTCTTTATTTTACCAACCAATTGCTGTGATTAGAATGAACCGAGCAACAGATAAACAAAGCCTATAAGTAATTATACTAATCCGATCTAAATGCAAGTGCAGTATATTGTACAAGTTCCTGGTATCTTTCGTACGAAACCTTCTGGGTGAAAAGGTTTGAAAGGATGAAGGACGAAGGGATGAAACCTTCTCTTAAATCTTTGACGATGGAAGGCATCCTTTGCATATAATGCTCTAGCGATTGATGAATAAAACACAAAATTAAAGAACGTTTGCATCTAAGTAGTACGAAGTGATGGAAGTTAGTAAATAAACCCATTAAAAGTAAACGGAAGTGAAGAAGGCACTATTAACGCGAGTTATTTTGACATCAAGAAAGGGAAGTTTACCATATTTTTCTATTTTTCTTTCAAAACGATTGTTTGGGCATTATTGGCTGAAGGAATTGATACTGAAAGTATGAAAAATTTCCAAATTTTACGGTCTTAATTACCTGTTCTTAAAAAGCCTTAAAATTTTGGGTTATGATTAGGGTAAGACTAAAGTATAAATTGATCACTTGAACTAATTTATTCCGCAATACAAATCAAGTACTTAACCTAAAACGGAGCACTTAAACTAATTTATGTAGCAATGAAATAATGATAAACTAGCTATCACGTACACTACACCCTGCGCAGGGAAAAATGTAATCATTTATGTAAATGTGAAGCGTAACCTGGGTATTTGGTGTATATTCATTTTCGTCGGGGTAGCGGTCTATTTTGTTTAAGGCTGTTGATTGGTTTATAAGAAGAACATACGCTATTTATCTTTGCATTATTTTTGCAGGAGTTTGGTGTATTACATTATTGCATCTTGATTTTTAGTACAGGCAAAAAAGTAATTGTGCAATTACCCTTAACCATGCACGTGTACGCTTTTGAAAAAAAGTGAAAAAAAACCCAATTATTTTGAAAGGCAGAATTACTATTTAGGTAAATTTTTCTTAATAGGTGAACTTTATTCGTTTTATTTGGGAGGAGTAGGATAAATTTTTTGAATCGATTGAGATGTTTCGAGTTAAGAGCAATTTGACACGCCAAAAAATGTTTCACTTTTTCACCCTTTTCTTACCAAATTCCTCAGGAAGAGGTTCGAAGAGAAGTCATGGTGACCTTTTAACAAAGCTGCCCTATCAGGGAAGTAGGAGCTGGATTGGAGTAAATGGCTAGAACTGACTGAGGTTTTGTGAAAAGTTATTTCACACCCATGAAATGTCTCATATGGTCACTTATTTCTAACTTGAAGTGGTTACGCAACGAACCTTTCACTTTGTTTTTTTTTGAGATTGTTTTATAAATGCCTCTTTAATGATTGGAATTCGGAAAACATAATTAAAATCGGTCTTTCAAACTGTTTCTACACTCATCTAAAGCTGCGATTTTTGTCAACTTTTCTGGTAATTTTTTGATATTGCCGATGACGTAGAAACGAGTATTGCCTTCCAACATGGCGCATAGCATTACTAGCGACGACCTGCCGTGCAGTGGAAAATGTTGTGTTTCCAGTAGTTTGAACTAAATCAGTTGCGATGAAATACTCCACAAAGTAAAACAATAGCTATCCATCTGTCTCCTTATGAGAAGATCGACAGATCCTCAAAAGCGAATGTAGCGAGTGAATTTTGGTCCACAAACATAGACAAAATTTAGTCGTGTTTATGCTTGTCAATCTTTAGGAATTCGTATTATTGTATGAGTTATGAAGTCATAAAATCTTTATATCCGAAGCAGTGTTTAAAGAAAGATTTTCTGCCAATGATAAAAGGAATATGAGCATTATTGAAGAACAGTAAACTGATATATAACAAAGAGACGTCTTTTGACCATGAAGATTGCTAAGTGGTTTCATAATACGCGAGGAAAAATAACATGACCTAGAACGTGCAATTAATGAATTCGATTGAAAGCATTGTAAAGATCTGTTAAAGAAGATTTATACATAACCTTGACATTAAGGAGCATGTTTCAATAAAGGCAGCTTTAAGAAACAAACTACATTCATGACTAATCATAAGTTAGCAATTAAATTTGATTGCTGTTCCTCCAAATGCACATGCAATAGATCCTATACGATTTTTCAAACAAGAAGACTTTTTAAATTTAAAATGTTCAACAAACTATTGTAAACCTTGCGGACGAGCAATTCATATTTATATATTTCTATAACTACTCATGATATTGAAGAAATCTTTAATTTGTGCTGCAACAAACACTGCAAACAAGTTATACAAACACTGCAAACAAGTTTTTTAACATGCATTGAGGCATCACTATCACATAATTTTGTTAGCTGTTTACACACGTCTGATATGGAGTAGTGGCATTGTTATATATGGCATTGTTAAATTATTGCCAAAATCTCGATAACTCACAGTTGTTCATACGGCAAACTCACTCCAGCTAATGCAGATATTTCCAGGGGGGGCGCAAGGAATACCCAGAGGAGGGGCCAAGTTCCTCCATTGGAAGGGGGCAAATCTTTTTTCAAACAAAAATTTTCAAAAATTATCATCAATCCTCGCTTTAACTAAATCGTTGATACATATAGTTTGTTTAGAAATAATAATTTACATCTACATGGAAAATTAACACTATGTATTCCCCTAGTTTTGAGAACCACAACTAATATGCTACAATGGGGATGGATTGTTTTTCATATATTTGGTTGTGCCCAATTGATTTGTTTGAAATGAAATTTAATTTTAAAAGAAGTCAGTCTGACACAACTGAATATATGAATATCCCACCAATGACTGTTGTACTAACAGCCCTGCCAGTCGTGCATGCAATCCTGGGATATACATGTAATTGGCTATAAAACCTATGCATTAAGTAAAAGAATGCACCAGGTTTTCTAGTAATGTTGGATAGTAATAATCAAGTATCAATTATCTCCGTCAAAGCTTTATAAACACATTCGACATCTTATTTAACCTATACAAAGCTCTAATCAAAGTAAGATGAGGATGCATCAGTTATTAGATATACTATTATGTTTTTCTTGTTCAACTTAAATCTTATGTTTTGGCACTTAATCTTAATGTTATCCTGTTAAACTTTTTGGCTGGTGAGCTATTCTTTTTGACTGCATGTATATAATGAATCAGTGATGTACTACGAAATAATTTATAAACACAAGAGGCAATATAAATAATGCACGAGTAGGATATAACGGTGAATCATTTGATTTGATTGTTTCATGTTCAGAGATCAATTCTGCACTTGGGAAACCTAGCGTTGAACTTGTTCACTACGGTATTCTATTAACAGGAACAAGATTTTATAATATACAAAAGCAAAGCATCTAAACTATGTGTTTTTTCGTAATATATATACGTATACAGATCATAATATAAGTACGGTATTAAATTAAAGGACACATGCAAGCTAGAAAACAACTTTATTTTATTGTAATGCCTATAGCGTGAAAATAAGACGTACCAAGTTTCAAAGTCGTCCGCAAAATATTTAAAAAGATATTTAGGGTTATAATCGGTAAAAACACGATATTCGATGACCATTGCTAAAACGCCGTGAGATTGTTTAAGTCTGGGAACTGGGAAAGAGTGACGTAATAGTTGACATAAAAAAGCTTCGTTCTTATATCGTTCTACGACTTGCACGCAATTCTTGCACGACTTTCGGTAGTTTGCTATTACTGTTTTTTATGGATTCTTCTGAAGAAGAAGCCGATTATGATATTGTCGTCAATAGCAATGAGGTGCAACCTTACATGTTTGAGCCTTTGGCCAACGCGGAAGGTGGTCATAGTAATGACAATTTTTCGTTATCGGAAAGCGAAGATGAATACATTCACAGAATTGGAAATGTTGAATGGTTAGTTGCATTTTATTGATGCTTCATTGTTTTTCCCAAAGTAGAAAGAATGTTTTTATCTTTTAGGTGCGAGTGTGGCTTTTGTGTGGTCATGAGTACAGGACGGGAAAGTATATGTTGCCAAGAGGTAAACAACACTGATCCTCTGATACATGGCGATCATATTTGCATCACACAAGAGGAAGAGTTTGCCACAGTATGTACAAACGAAGCTGTCTTAAAAACAGCTATGGTCGTGTACACACATGACATTGGACCTATGCCTGAGAGTGAAGAAAACGAGTAAATATTACCTTAGAGTGTAATTACGTGTATGTCGACAAGTGTATAATGCCGATAAGTATCTTAGACAAAATTTTGTATCGTTCAGAGCATTACGCTACACGGCGTACCGACAGTGGACGGCTTGGGTGCATGGCAGGTTGGGAAAAAAGTACCGACTACCCATACCTTCTTTGCTGTGGACAAAATCCGGAAAGCATTTCCTTCGCCTTCTGGAGAATACAAAGGATTTGAATATGCTCAACACTACTGAATGGTAGGGCTTATGGCGTATGACAAAGTCTGTTCATTTGTAATTATGTTTATTTCATGTGGGACGTTATTTCTTTTTATTTATTAAAGCGAGATTTATGTTGCTTAATGGCTTCAGCTTTGCTGATTTTTGATTTGTGGTGAGTCAATGGGACAGGTATTTCTTTCACTCCAGCGACATCAAGAGCTTTGGAGAGTGTTGGATTAATGCGTCTGCAGTATAAAACTTCTTTCATCAAGTCCTTAACATATCCTGAAAAGCAAATCATTATTTATGTTGCACTTTGAGAAAAGGTAAGTTTATTTTTCTGTGCTAACCATAAGTGCTGTCAACTTTCACTGGTTTGATGACCCTTGTCCTTCTTTTGACTTTGAATATGCCACTCTCCAAATCAATGCCTCTTCTGTTTGCCCACCATTCTTCGTTTTCTGAGGTTTATTTCCATTCTCATTGAAATGAAGAGCAGCAATAAACAATCTACAAATGAATGTTAAGTTTATGTTTACAACTATTGCAACTTATTGCTTTTGCAATGATGACTTTTTAAGTAATCATACACTAGTCATAATTAGATTACCTTGCTTCCATTGATCTGTAGAAAAAATGGGTATGTTTTGGTGCAAAAAGAATCACCACTCGGTGGAAACCTTCGATGGATGAAGTCTGCTTCTGATAACTGAGTTTTCCAATATCTCTCATGAGATATTTGGACTCAACAATCGAAGACAGCTCAACATAAGCTTTTGAACCTAAGATCAGAAGTTAGTTAACAAAAAGAAAAAGAATGTTGATGTTACTTTGAAATTTATTTGCTTACAATACCTTTTTTTATCCACATTCTAGGCTCTAACATATCATGTTCACATTTTGGGAATACATCACTATGTCCGTCATGGATGTCACATATATGATTGAGAACTGACAACCACTTTGCCTTGACAAGTTCTTCATCACCATTGCTGGAAGCAGCACACCAGTATACATGGTTGGAAATTGATTGGGCCCAATCCGACAATAATTTGCAACCACTTTTTTTTGATGCTGCCAAAATTTTCTTTTTGATTCCTGTTGGAATTTGATTATTGATGAAATGTGTAAAAGGTTGGTTTGTTATGACAATCTATACCTTTTGCTACATGCCATACATCAAAGTAGTGCTCGATTTTTGGTCTTTGTTTTGACATGTAGGATTTGATTTGAGCATGTCTGTCTGTGGTCATTGACTTCACCTTCATCCCACTTTCATCAAACTTTGCCAGACATCTTTTTAATCCCTCAAGTTCCATTGCTCCAGAGTTCGTCACTTCATTGGACTGTGTAACATAATTATGTGAGTATTCTAACCATGTTTTATGTACAGTTGTTGAAGAATTGTTACCTGAAAAAGTTGTGTGTCTAAAATGTTGTTAGATTCCAAATCCATGCAGCTATATGACCCATACTTGGCACAATATCTAGGCAAATCACATCTTCCATCTCCTCCAAGGTTAATGTTTCTTTCTCTGATTGATTCTAGAAGATGCTTTTGGTTCATATGCCAAACATTTGAAACACTGGGTATCAAATACGCTGTTTGAATATTGCTATATGTGCGCTCTGACAGAAATTATATGCCTGAGTGACGAAGGAATTGAAGAGCTTTGCTGGGGCTACTACCACTAAACAAGATGCTGGCAGCAAAGACCAAGTTGCCCAAAGGCATTCGCCCATGCAGAGGTTGGCTATTCCAGTCTCGAACATAACCACAATGACATTTTGCTAGTACGTTAACCATACTACCAGTCGTTTTGGTCACAATGGAACAGCTTTCACCACAACATGGGCATTGACTCACTAACTGTCTCAGGCAACTATCAAACACTATGTATTTTCTCTCATTTTGAATGTCTTCCTATAACATAAAATTACCATCAGAATCAGAGAGAGATAAACTTAACGTTCTGAGAAACATAACAGAGAAAAGCAATGTAAAGAATAGTCAGGTGACTGGATAGTTGGTACTAACGTTGCATTGTCATTGTCGGATTCTTCATTTTCGCTTAACTCATTTGAACATTGAGAGTCTGATCCATTGTTGCTATTGCTCATCGTCGACGTGCTTTCTGTATCAGACCATACAGCGCTATCCTCAAAATGTTCAATTTCACATGACGTCGTCTGTGTGCTGTGATTTTTTGTTGAAATGAACTCAACCTCCGTACCTTAGCATAAAATTATCGTATTGCTGGATTTTTCACAAAAATCAAAACAGCCGAAATGGAAAGTCTATACCTCTACTTATCATATTTGGCACTTTTGTTTGAGTGGTTCTTGACCTTACGTGTTTTTGCGGACGGATTGTTATGGCTGCTTGGCATTTCACATTGCGCTTCTAAGGTACGTTAAGGAATTTTTTATGAGTTAAAATAACAAAGAAAAGATCAAACGACATTAGTCTGAATTAGTTACCACTGTATATGTTTGTGTTTCGCTGTCTACATATATTTTGACATCTTTCATCTTAGACAAACTTCCTTTGAGGTAAAGCGCACAAACATTTCGAGCCGATGTCGACACATCGTGGTCGTCGTCTACAAGAACGTCGTCAATAATCTAAAAATATAAATTTGTCTTCAATTTGGTAATGCTATATAGCTTAGTTTTTGATAAATGTAAACAAATATTGCTAACTATAACTATAATATTCACCTCTTGCCTTCGTCTCTTCTCAAATGCAGTTCTAACATTTGTTGGCTGCTTCCTTTTAGATGCTACACTTGTGGGTTCCACAGAGTATTCAAAAATCGTGGGTACAGCATCCTTCTTAAGGCGAAGCCGTCCTGCTGTCCATCCTACTGATTGCATCGCTTCAAAATTTTGCACGAAGCACGAACTCTCGAAATGTTGCGAGCACAATTTTGAGCTCTTTGTTGGCTTCCAATTTTTGCGTCGGATTTTTTCAATCCAAATATCTCGCATACGCTTGTTTTCGGGAAACGAAAAAAAAGAAACCTTTTGCTGCGTTTCGTGGTTCTTAGAAGAACCGTTTTTACAATTAAATGCGGCACAATAAATCATATTTTCAATGCTAAATTGTCGTGTTGTTAAGAAGTTACCAATATATTTTGAACAAAGCGCGCAATTGACCGCGTTTAGAGAATGTAAACTATACGTCACAACGACATCGGTAGCTGTCGCTAGCTCGTCGGGCATTTTCAATACGTTATCAGTAAAGCATCAACTTTAAACCTCCATATCTTCAAAAATATTTATCCTTTGAGTCTCAAACTTTGGTGAACTATTAGTTGGAGCTATACCTTCATGTAAAGTACAAAAATAACAATCCGAATTTTATGTTGCATGTGTCCTTTAATAAAGGATCTTTGTTAAAAAGACGATGACGATGGCTGAAGCGTATATATATATATGTAAATATACAAAGAGAATATGTTTCATGTTTTTGAATAATTGAATAGAATGAATCAAAACGAGATCAAAACAGCCCACATATATTTAAAAATCAATTTTTATAACTTTGCAAAAACCCAGACAGAAAACTGATAGCGGACAAGCGTCGTGGCCATCGCATTACCAAATTAAATCTCATGTAGCATTTGTATATCTGTTGTCTAATTACATTCGAAAATAAGTATTTCAGAGTAACTTTAATATTTTATAAATTTGATGTCGGATAGCTGGCGTGTATGAAGATTATTGCCGATGGTGAGAGGGCTCACATTACTTTAAACGAACGACACTAATCAACATTGGAAATTGCATTTTTTCGTTATTCCTTCCCCGACAAATAGTCAAAATTTTCTGCGACGGAGGCGGCTAGAATTCCTCAACAGGGGGACTCGCGCATGTTTGAGCTAGTATTATGAGTAAATTTGTCACAGAAGCAAATTTACGACACCAAAGAAAAATAAAAGAACACAGGCGAATTTAGAACCCTGTATGCCTTACAGGTACGCAGAGAAATTAGTGCTACTGGTATCAGACATTGAATATTGAGTGGGATAATTTGCATATATATTTGTTTGTTTAGCAAATTTTAACGATACCATTTTGGCGCCACGCTATTTCTGATATGTATATTTCTAGTAGCTGTGTTTAGCAACTTTGGAATTCTTTAAGCATGCTATTCCTTGAAAGTTACGCAAAGTTATAAAAATTGATTTTTAAATATATGTGGGCTGTTTTGATCTCGTTTTGATTCGTTCTATTCAATTATTCAAAAACATGAAACATATTCTCTTTGTATATTTACATATATATATATACACGCCTCAGCCATCGTCATCGTCTTTTTAACAAAGATCCTTTATTAATTCAAATACCGTACTTATATTATGATCTGTTTACGTATATATATTACGAAAAAACACATAGTTTAGATGTTTGCTTTCGTATATTATAAAATCTTGTTCCTGTTAATAGAATACTGATACGCTTGGTTAATGTCAATTATTCACCCACAGCCTTTAGAAAGGAGATTTAGAAGCGCATAAAATAACATAACTATCATAACACAGGAGCAGATCAACTGTTCATAAGTAAGCGTCAGATCTTTACTGTTAAAATTTTCCCAAAAGCATTTCAATTGGTAAGTCTTTATTTTTGAAAATTAATAATTTACTTTTAGAATCAATTTTTAGGGTATACTACATTCGCCAGACGCACATGTATAATTGACTTTAGTTATCTTAGGTTTATTGAGTGAATTTTAAAAAATACACTTATATTGCATGATTTTTTTGTCTTTTCTTGTGAAGTTGCTTATGATATATATTTCAATGCTATGTTAAGGTACCATATTTTAGCTGTTGCAAAGATTCTTAATGATTTATAACAACTCGTTTTCTTCGTAACGTAATGCTTGACTGCTTCTATATTTTGACTCAAAGCATAAGGCTCTGATGCTTTTATTCAATTCTAACAAAAATTTGCTTCTGTATTTTTAGTTATAGCAACACAAGAGGATCAGACATTATTTTTCAGGTAAAGTTTACAACTATACTTCAGACGGCTTCTATTTTAACTCATCATTAAAAGATTTATGGATTGAAACATTGTTAATTCTTGAACACGGAACATCACGTCTATTATTGATTATACTCGAAATTTTTTATGTGGTTTGTAGAATGCGGCTGGAACCATTCACAAAATGGATTTTTATTGTTATTTTCTTGATCTTATATGGTAAGCGGGTCTTTTATACTTCATTTTCAAAAAGTTGTAAGAAATTTTATGTGTCCAGATAGCGAGTTTTTAATAGACATGGAAATATAGCGAGTCTAAGCAGAACAAAAATTTATGTCACAAACTTTAATACTTTTTCTTTACTTCAGTAAATTCAAAATATAAACAAAAGTTATCTTTAAATGATTATTTCTGTGGAGGTAATTTCTATGTTCAATCAAGTAAAATATTCTGGTAATGCAAATAATTGTCTTTGTGAGACATGACATAAACAAACATTTCATTTTCCGTTCCAACTATAAAAACGAATTGAATCAGGAACAATTTATGTATTGATGTCATTATTGCATTGCAAAAATGAAAAAAGTTGCAATCTATAATAACTATAATCAACATCTGAAATAAATATTGCTTTATAAAAATAATACAATGTTATAAAATTAAATGTTTGTAGTGCATCTTTGTACTGTTTATCCATGTCCTACATATTTTCAATTTTGATATCAGTAGTGAATTAATTGCAAGTGAA